AGTCTGTGCATTTGGAGGAGGAATATTTGGCCAGATTTTAGCAGCATCAACTAGGCTGTTTCTGGTTGGCTGTTGGGACAATTTTTCAAAATACATGCTCATTTAGTACACAATATTAACACATAGTGTTCCATGCCAGAAACACTCAAGTTTCCCTTCTGCAACAAACCGAAGTTCAGATACACTCTAAAAAGTTAATTAAGAATATCACTGCATGAAGGAAGCTTCTATCCTAGAGTCTGTCCTAGCATACTTAGTTCTAGATTTCCAAATGCAAGGCAAGATTCTGTTAAACTCAGCACATCAAGAGGTTCCATCACCTAGCACATGAAATCACCACAGTGAAGAGCACAAGGTTGAATTATCTCTCTCTCCCCCCAAGTAGTGGTCATAATCACAAACATAATTAATTCACTATTTAGCTTACTGAAATGAAAACATTTCACTTTCATAGGGGAAACATAAATTTGGAAGTTTAAGTAACATCTTGCAAAGTATATTATTTCACTTGAAACTAAAATTATGCTTGAATTGTGGTAGGAATCAGTTCTAAAGTGTACCATATAAGACTTATAAAACCAAAACTAGAATATCCTTACAGCATCAGACATTTCACGTGAGTTACAAACGGATCTTTATTGACCAGCTGCCCATGGGTACATATTAACTGTTGTTAGCTTGCTCTCAAGAGTCACTACTATGCAACATTTTAATTGGAACTGTAAAGAAGAGGTAACTGTCTTTCAAATCCACACAAAACTCTGCTTGAATACATTAAAGGATCTCCCGTAAGTTAAAACACGGTGGTAGCCTCTTTAGTCTTCCTATCAAACTGAAGGTTACCTCAGAAGAGATATGAGCTTCAGAAGGATACCTGGTATGTTTGGACTGTGCATCACCAACTGGGAAGATGCAAGCTGCAACCTGTTGAAACTGGTGTTTTGCTCAAGTAACATTATTTCACCATTTGACATATACCACAATGAATGAGAAATGTGATGGGTACAAACCTTGCTCAAGCAGTCACTGCAGTAGTGAGAGCCCTTTAAACAAACCGAAGGTGCCATGTTTAGGTGCAAAGGATTGGCGTACACACGTGATGTTAGCTCCGACTGTGCAATATGCTCATCCAAGTGGCCTGCAGCCCCACTTGTGAATTCAGAACAAGGAAAATAGCCAGAAGATGTGCAGCTCTGAAGGGCTGGATACTGATGCAGTTTGTGCACGTTACCATGACAGGACTGGAAATGGAGTTTTCCACAACAGGAAAGATGTTGACAGGAAGATACACTGTTTTCTATGCACATGCCTGGGAACTCACTTGCAATGCTTCTAGCTGGAGGAGTTTTCAGTGAAGATGCAGACTGATAAGCAAATCCTGACCCTACCTGACAAGTAATCGTCCCAGTGCTTTTTGAGTCTAATATTGTGCCAGGATGAATCAAGTTACCACCACCAACACAACGCATTTGCGGAGTACAAGAAGAGTCAGAGCCATGAGCACAGCAGCTTACTTTTGGGCCAGGTGAAAGCTGTATTTGCTGTTGCTGGAGAGGATGAACATCAGGAAGCGGAACTGCTGGAAACAGTTTAGAGCCAGCATTATGAGGCAATGAAGCATCCTTCAATTCTATAGCAGCTGTCTTGTTCTCCATGTAATCCTTCTGGAAATTGAAAGCTCAGTTACATTCAGATGAATTAAAACATAACCTTGTAATATAAACAAGCATATTTTTAGACTGTTACAATTTCATTAATAACAGATTTTGAAAAGTACTACCTTCATGATTATTATTAACTGTCTGAACATATAAGATATTAAAAGAAACATGCCAGTTATGTGTGCCAGCATGATCTATATTGGTATCAGTGGATTTTCAAAGCAACAAAAAGCTACAAAACAAATAGCAATGAGTCTGTAAACCAGAATTTGAAAAGCAGTGTTAGGCCAAGGCTGAGAGATATTCTGCAACCGATGGATGCACTGGAAAAAAAAAAAAAACACAACACAAAACCACCGCCGTGTGGAGGTACATAAAAAAAAAATTTATGTGTCAATGATGGCCTTAATATTGTATTAGAGTTTTAGAAGTAATGCATTAAAAGACTAAGACTTCAAAATATTAGAAATTCTATCAATTAGATAAACTAACATAGGACAGAGAACACTAAATTTTCACAACAACTATGTAAGTACTTTTTGCCTACTCTTATTTAAGATATCAAGATGTACAGACATAAAGGCACACACAGACATACAGGGTGGTTTTTTTTTTAAATGGCAGCAGTGAAGACTAAACAAAGTTATGAGAAGCACCTGAACAGACAAGGTCAGTAGAGCTAATCTGCACACAACTCACTGCTCCAGAGCTTTAGGCCAGTACTTTTGAACAACTTTCACTTTCCAAATTGAATTTAATGCTTTTCCTACTGCACAGTAATGAATAACTGATTACCCGACTTCAACACCACCCCTCTCTACCTGATGCCACATCTTAAGATATACTCTGCCAAAAATCTGTCCGAACTTGCTTAGATGTTAAATTCCAGAATTTATGGCAGCTGCCTTCCCAGCCCAATACACGAGAATAGCAACACAACAGGACATGTGCTTATCTGTTTCTCCCATGTCTTTTACTGAAAGTCAGATTAACACAATGAATGGGTGTTAATTAACACCTGGAGCTTGCCTGCTCAAATAATTCACTGTTTTCTATTACTCCTTTTATTCCTTAGCACTCTGTATCTCCAAGGTACAGAACTATATACAGTTATGGAACAACATTTAAAGAAATGGAAACAAGGGAAAATTAGACATTCATGAAGAACAGCATCCACAATTGCTATAACTACTAAATAAGTCAGAAGCTTCTAAGTTTGCCTCCAAACTGGTAAGAATCTGTAAGAATGAAGACTAGTCCCTACCCTGCTCTCCAGCAGTAACTTCACAGAGCTTTCAAGAAGCTGCCTTACAGACCTTTTAAGCAGTGAGTTGTACCATTACAGAGCTGTAAAGAGTAGAGCCTGTCAAGCAAAGCAATTTGCCTGCTTTCACCAACACAGATGAGAGCAGTGACCACCACTAGAGACCTTAAATTCCCAGGCAGATTTTGTATTTAATGTGGTAACTGCTGTCTCCTCTTTCACCCCTCTCCACTTGCCCCCTTTAGTCAGCAGTAAGACTGCAGTTAGTTATACTGCTCTACGCCAGGATACTGACTGTGCCTTTAGTAAAGCAACGAATTACCGTTCTTGCACTGCAAGGCAAAGACTTCTCAGCAGCAGAAAAGCAATCAGAAAGTTTCCAGAGCCATGGTTTTGCATCATTCTCTTGTCGCTGAAGCCATCCGAACGATCTGTTGCAGAGGTTCTCTGTCCTATTTCCTTCCATCATACAGCCAAATAAAAAGGTTCAACATTCTTTCATCCCCCCTTCCTTTCATTCTTCCTACCTGCTAAAAAAAAAAAAATACATTCTTTAAATAACCATTCAGGTAAGACAGAAAACAAATTCTCTTATGAATTCCACTACTGCTAGATCACTGAACTTGCATTATTTATGTTAAATTTAATTATGCATATGGAATATGGTTTGACTACTCCCTAGTACAAGAATATTCCTCATGACTTGCAACACAGGTGACACAGTCTGAGGAAAACACTGTTTAAGTCCGTGGCACTACCTAGAGTCCCAGAAATGCATTGCTGCTGACATGAATAATTTCCTGAATTTTCAGCACATTCTTCTAGAAACAGAAGCCAGGAGGTAGGTTTTCAAGAACAGCTCATCAGCAAATCCAAAACAGGTGCAACTGAACACACCTGAAAGAATTAACTGCATATTCCTTCTCCTTCCACTAGCTAACAAACCTATATACACACCTGTATTAGCCACACAGCATTTAGTATTTAAACAGAGCTTTAAATTATTAAAGTTATTTACAAATACTTACACTAATTCTCAAGCTACTCCACAGCATACCACATCAATTTAGCTTTACAGAACCACAAAAAGACCCAGCCACACTCCACCACAAAAACTACAGTATCAGAAACTAAGTCTTCTTACCCTCCAATTATGTATCGCACACATTAGAAAAATGCTCCTTCAGATTTTTTTGCATTAATTCTATATGGGTTAAAGAGCAGTACACTTGCCCCTGTGTTATTTCTAACCACAAAATAAGTTCGACTTTTTAAGAAAAAAACATCTATACGCAGGAACCCAAAGTACCCAGAATTATGCTGAACAAAAAACTAAGTTAATCAAGTTCTACAGCTCTGGAGCAAGTTACTTTAAAAAATGTCTGGTAGCACCAATTCGTTCATGAATTAAAAAGGAAACTGAAACCATTTAGCAGTTGCGTGCACCACACACGTCCACGTTCTGTCCTCTGCGGCTCGCCGCTGCCCCGGTGCCTCCAGCTCGGCCGGGCCCGCAGCCCGGGGGAGGCGACATCGAGGCCCGACCCTCCCCCATCCAGACAAACAGTCCTAACACACTTGGAGGTGCTGCCGGACGAATGGCCGCTCCCGCCCGCGGAGCTCCGCCGAGCGCGGCCCGTAGTGCAGCTCCGCCCGGGGACCAGGCTGCTGTCTGCAAGGGGAGCGGGCCCCGCCCCCACGAGCCCGGCCGCGGGGTCCCGCCCGGGGCCTCCCCACCGCCGCAGGGCAGCGGAGGCAGCCGCGGGCCCGCCTTATCCGTGCCCTGCTCCCGCTCGCTGCGCCTCACCTGAGCCGCCCCTCGCACACCGCCACGGCCCGCCACGGCCCTTTGTTGTCCTCCTTCCTCCCTCTCAGCTCCTTCTGCCGTCAAGCAACACCAAGCGCCGGAAACCAGCCCGCTGCCGCAAAGGCGGTTGTCGTGATGCTCTACTCCCTCCTCGCTGGCACGCAGCGGGCTAGGCCGCGGAAGGGGCCGTGCGTTTTAAACCTGCCGTGTGTGGGGCAGGACGGTACCCCACCCGAGGCTGGGGGGATTGCCCGCCCCAGCTGAAAGGTGCCTCTGGCCGCACTGAGGGGATGGGGGCGGCACCTGCGGGGAGGCGGCAGGCCCCGAATAAGAGCACCTGGGGCCTCCCTAGCGGGACCGCTGGGCAGACCTCCTGTAGCTGGTACTGGTGAGGCCGCGTTTTGAATGCTGTGTTTAGTTATGTAGTACAAGACAGATACTGAGGTGCTGGAGTGAGTCAAGAAAAGGGCAGCGAAGCTGGTGAAGGGTCGGGAGCACAAGTCTGATGAGGAACGACTGAAGGAACTGGGGGGCGTTAGCCTGGAAAAAAGGATGTTCAGGTCAAACCTTATTGCTGTCTACAACTGCCTGACAGGAGGTTGTAGAGAGGTGGGGGTCAGTCCCTTCTCCCATATAGCAAGGGGTATCATAAGAGGAAACTGCTTCCAGCTGCTCCAGGGGAGGTTTAGGTTGGATATTAAGAAAAATTCCTTCACTGAGAAGGTGATCAGGCATTGGAACAAGCAGCCCAGGGAACTGCTGGAATCACTATCCCAGTAAGTGTTCAAAAAGCCTGTAGGTGAGAAACCAGCTCAGTGCTATGGTTTGGTGGTTGACTTTGTAGTCCTGGAGTAAAGCTTGGACTTGATCTTAAAGGTTTTTTTTCCAACCTAGTTGATTCTGTGATTCTTCCTCCTCACACACACACACCTTACACCAAAAGGGGGTCTCAGTCCAGTCACACCTGAGCCGGCAGGGCTGTGGGAACCATGTTGTGGTGTCTGGGAGGCCCGACAGGGGGCCTGGCCTCCTAGTGAGTATCAGAGCAGTTACCTCTGTGCTCCTCCGTTATTTGTACAGCAGGGAAGTTGGTAGAGTTGAATGGGGCTCTTACAGGCAGTAATTGTTGGTGCCTTGAGTAGAATTTAAGCTTTTAATTTTTTTTTTCCAGTACACGCACAAAACCAGAAATATCCCGGTGGTTGCCAGGGCTGGACAGTTTTAACTCTTTTTGAGAGCCTTTTCCTTTGAAGACAGTATTGAAGTTCCCTTGAAGCCTGAGAACAGCAGTTAAATATTGATACTGTTCAGAAATCTGCTGTTGGCTTATTTTGACAGAGACGTCTGACCTCTCTGTACTGTCCTCTGGGTGGTTTTGGGCATCATTAGCTGTGTATAAAGAAATTCCCCAAGTAAGATACACAGCTTAAAAATATAAAGCAATTACTGGTTAACAAGAAACAAGTTTTTAACAAGCTGCTGGATGAGGTGTTAGTGTGATTCCCACCCTGTGATAAAACACTTGAAGTCTGTTAGCTAAACAAGCCTCAAAAAAAGGGGTGGGCATCCACTTGTACCTCAGTTTTCATAACTTGTAATTCACTGCATCTGTTCATGTGGGTGACACTGGTAAAGGGTTTAATCACTTCAAGATCTTATAACTTTACACATTGATATTTTTCCTCTTGAATCCTTGTACTACTAATAGCCCTGGTCTCAACAACCCTATCTCTATTTGTAATTTTTCTTTTCTTGTCTTTCTACAGACACAGGTCTGTCTCACAATTTCACAGTTCCCTCAGAAGTCTGAGCCAAAGTCATGCAGCAAACCTGTATTATCCAGTCTGGGCTTGCTCCTCGACATGCAGGTAGCTGACCTCAGGGAAGAGGAGGTAGCACCAGAGCAGGGTGAGGGTCCACTTTTGGTGTCTCAGTATCTTCTGATCACAAGTGACATCATGGTAATAGGCTACGTTGTCATTTTACTTTCACCTTTGCCTAATGGGTTGCAGCCACCAGCAAGGTTGACTCTTCTTAGTGACGATGCTCGTATCTACATCCCTTCTGCCCCAACTCCCGTGGTTCTGTGAGGGTGTAATGCTGCTGTGTATTATGGTCTGGAGTGGTGGTGTTTTGCCAGTGCTACTATTAAGCATTTGACAGTTTTGTAAACAATAATTATCAGTTCAAGATATCAGGAGTGTTTTCTAGTAGTGAGAACCTGTTTGTTGCTTAAGCATGTGCAAATCCAATTTTACATATATAGGCTGCAGAAAATTATATGAGGCAGATTATATTACAAAGAGGCAGAAACAGGTTTCAATGATGTTAAATACATTCCCTTCAGTGACAGCAATATTTCCATTTGATATTCTAATACGTATGTGTATCACATCTTCTTATGGGTATCAGTAATCCATTAAAAAAAAAAATCAGTAGTTTGTAATGACAAATGATGAGCAGTTCCTGTTCCATCCATTGAGTGGTTCTGAGTGAGTTTTTTAATACTTGCAGCAAAGCAAATCTTTTTTTCCCCATAAGAAGCTTTTGCCAAAAAATAAGGTGTTGCAACCTCACCAGAACTTACAGTGTATAAGTTTTTCCCTGCTTATCTTTCATGGAAGAGTCAGTGTGGCATTGTCATTAAAATAACCAGCACCACCTAAAATAACCCTACTGCCACAGAAATCTGTCATTTATTAATTATCAGTCAGCAAACTAAAAATAAATGCATAAAATAATTTATTTTTCTCCTCTGCTAATTTCAAAACAAATGTTCTCATTCCTCTTGCAAACAGGCAGTGACAGTAATTATAGTAACCATTTTCTACTATTTACTGCTTGTGTAAAGGAGTGCCTCTGCTATTGCGTCTGCTAGTGCCACTGGCATTTGTTAAGGTTCTGTTATGCTGCTTCAGATTTGGATGAGAGGATAACAACTTCCGCTGGAATCTGAGATTTTTTTTGCTGTTTTTTTTTTTACATGTATTTCAAGATGAGAACTATTAAAAATACCCAATATACCTTTGATAATCTGTGTATTCACACTGTCCTCAAAGATTGGTATGAAGAGTTGAAGTAAAATGTCCCTTGTCCCAGACTTGCAAACAAAAGTACACATTTTTTAGTTACTGGGGACATAATACAATAGGAAGTGGTTTATTTTCTGTAACTTACCTGATAATAAAACCATTATTGAGTAATGACAGAACTGCAAGTTGCTATTAACCCAGTATTTTAAATACCTAAATTATAAATACATAATTTATCATAGTTGTATAATAGTTTGTTTCCATTTACTTCTGCTGAACATCTAACCACAAAAGATAATTGTTTTGCTGAACACCTGACCTGAAATTATACTTGTTTTTTTATTCTTTTCAGTTGAAGTTGTCTTAGCTGTGGACAGATTTCTTTCAGTGGAATATTTTTACGGAAAAAGCATCCATCCTCTTTGATCCAGTCCCACCCTTATTCTACAAAGTCTTTGGGAGAGGCACATTCCCAGTGTAGACAGTGAAGCCTTTTCCAGAATCAGGCTCTGCTCCAGGCCTGGTATTGCATCACAACAGTAACTGAAACTGGGATGAGGGCCCCTGTGAGGTTGTGCCTGTCCTCAAGCAATTTGCAAATCGTGCTGCAGGGGTGTGAAGTGATACTGGGTGACACACGGCCCTGTGTATGTGGGCTGGAGCCATGTGTATGTGATAATTCGTGTTTTTGTTTTGACTCAGGAAACAAATGCCAGGTGTGCCTAATGACCAACTGTTTGTGTACGCCGCTGGGTAGGAGCCTCGGGAAAGCTCCACACACCTCAGTCCCTTCCAGACCCATTCCACGCAGGGAGGGAAGGTTATTTACTGGCTGCATTGAGCTCCAGCTCTGTCCCGTCGTCTCTGGGGAGCACCTTCCCCCTGCAGATGCTTGTGGCTCATTTTCTGGAATGATAAGATCATGCTAAGATGTAGATGAGTGCAAGTGTCTAATATTTCATAGGCTGCTTTGTTCTTGTGACATGGGCTTCAGTGACACAGCAGGCTGTTCCTCGGTTGTGAAAAGGGGAGTTTAGTCTGAAAACGTTGCACTGGCATTAAAGAGTTACAGTCGCTGTCTCACTACTTGCTTTTTCAGAAGGAGCCTTTGGAATAACAACCCCCAGTATTTGATGTAAAGCTTTCCCTGCGTTAGACCGTTCCCAGAGGAACATTACAGCGAGGCGGCAAATACTGGTTTATCCCCTTAGAACCTTAGGAGGCGCAGGCCCGGAGTGCGCTGTAGCTCCCTAAACCGCCGCCGAGAGGGATGGGATGGGATGGGATGGGGTGAGGTGAGGTGAGGTGAGCGCCCCGCAGCCCAGCGCAAGCGAGACCGGGACCGCCCCCGAGCGCCTTTTGAAAGTAACGAAACTTTCCAAACCTTCCAGCAGGCGCGTCCTAGAGGCGCTGATTGGCGGAGCCCCCCGCAGCATGTGATCGGCAGCCAATGGGGTGGCTGCGTCGGTCAGGCTTTGGAGAGCGGCGGCTGCTGGCGTGGAGGGGTTTAGTGTGGTGGGTTCGGTAGGAGAGCGGAGGTTCGGCTTGCCACCCGGTACGATGGTGGGGAGGCGGGAGGCAGGAGGCAGCTCCCTGGCGGAGCGCCTGTGCTGCGGGTAGACGAGGGAAGGGCGGTTTTGGTGCGGCGCAGCCCTTCCTGATATCCTTCGTCCTGCTGTGGTGGTCGGGGAGGCAAGGGGTAATGGAGCCGGGACCTGCCTCTCTGCGGCCCCCGCGCCTTCCCGCACTCTTCTGTGCGAGCGTGAATCTCCTCTTGGAGTTGCTCTTGCGGCTGCTGGTGGGGAGGGGAAGAGAAGGGAGCGTGGGAGCCGTGGCCGATGGCTCAGCTCGTTCTCCGTCTTCGTGCTTCGAATGGGAATGGGCTGACCTCGGCTGGCAGCTGGAAGCATCAAGGTCAGGCGATTCAGGAAAAAAAACTTTGCAGAGGTTCCTGGGAATCACTGGAAACTCGAAGTACTGGATCTGGCTTGGTATCTGAAAAGATGAGGGCTTTGCCGAATTAAGCCTTTTGGTAGCGAAGACCCTGAGAAGCTGGTAACTCTTTTCAGTGCTAGCTGGGATTCTGCAGTAATCCTGGCACTCCGGTGACCTCTTCCTTTTTTTTTTCTCTCTCTTGCTGTGATTTTCTTTTGTGTTGCTTAAACAAAAGAAAATAGGCCCTTATTGTTACATAAAGACCTTTGCAACGGGACTATTGTAAGAAAATACTGTTTTTATAGAATGGGAAGGCTACTTTTCAGGAGCAAAAAGGGGTTGTTTTGGTTTACGGTTAGGAAAAAATGGCTAATAGGAGCTTTATCATTTCTGTCATAGATAATTCAGTAGCACGTACAGTACTATTTTTTTTTTTTTGCTATTATAGTATGTATTTCTTTGATTCAGACCATGTGGCATTGCTACAGAGATAGGCAAACATTGTTCACCAAGCTAAAGTGTTCGTTTAGTATGTAGGGTTGTCTTGAGGCTTTGCTCCTACGACTGAAACAGACTTTTAAGTTGCGGTTCTCATGAATTTGGTGAACTCAAGCTCTCATTCCCAAATTGAATTACGAGTAATTTTGTGTATAGTTTTTCTTGATGTTTTGTTTTTTTTTTTTTTCCTCCTTAAGAATTTTGCAGTTCTGTTCTCACACGTATGGAATTGCTTCCTGCAGCATTTATGATGAGGTGTTTTTCTCCTTGCAAAAGTTCATTCCCCACCCATAAACACTTCCACTTCCTGTATGATGTAGAGGTTTTGTAATCTCTATGACCAGCACTTGTGCTGCTTGCATGCAGGAAGTCTGACCAGTTGTCTCTTCTGGCTTTGTGTGTTTGAAAACAAGTAAGGTGCAACCAGTATATGCCTGTTTACAAGCTGTGACTTTCCTTGGTTTTCCTACATTTGCCAGTGTTTAACAAAACAATGCTACAACCTTTCATCCCCCTTGCCCTCCCTCCTTTTACAGTGAACCTACGCAGTAGTTCCTAATTGGTTTAATTACTCTCCAGGTATTTTGCATACTGTCCCCAAGCTGTTAAAAATTAAGGGGAGAAGGCAGCAAGGGGAAAAACAAAGTCAAAAAAGCTCTACCCTTTCTACAGGCAGTTTAGGAAGATTTGAGTGGTGGTTTGGGATTTTTGAAAGAAATTCAGGAATAGAAAAAAGTTTTAATACTGTGCCTAAAATTTGGCATTTTTCTTTTCAGTTTAAGTTTGTATCTTGCACCTTTGGTTAGTTTGAAAATCCCTGTGTTCTAAGATGTAGTGCAGGTGTACAGGGACCCTAATAGATCTTCCTTATGCATTAGAGAAAAAAAATTCATGCCTGTGGCATTGTACAGTAGTGAAACTATCTCTGCCGTGTTGTATCTTCTATGTAGAAGAAGTATAGGTCCACAAATACTTCCATGTATTTGCAGCTTAACTATTTTAAATCGTAAGTGCTATTTAGTAATGGTAACCATTAAACAGATTATTCTTAATGGCAAACATTCTCAGTAGGTCCGGAAGCTCATCTTTACAAAAACACAAACGGAAGGGCACAGCATCTTTATGCTTCTGTGAAAGTTATCAAGGCTCTGTAGAGCTCTTACAAATCTTGCAGCTTGGTTGGGGAAAGTTGTTTTGTATGTGACTGTCTTTAAAAAATGTAAATTAATACATTCTTTTAGTCATTCCAAAGTGCAGTGTAAAAACACAAGTGAGAGCCAGATAGGAACATGCTCAAGATCTTGAGGCCAGCAGGAGCTGTGCCTTTTCACTCTGAAGGGTTGTTGCAAAACTTGTAGGAGCAACATGTCTTGCAGTGTTTTGTCTGACTTTTTTTGTGACTGTCAGAACATGGATCTGGGATTTATTCTAATATTTGTGTCAGAATAATTCCTCATTGGACACTGCTGAAATGTATTTTAGATTATGTTACAAAGCTAGGCATGCTCTGTGTGGAATTTGTGTTCCTGAAGAAATACAGAAACTTCCTATTGTGCGAGTGGTGAGAAAAAGCAGCTCTGCCTTGCTGTTCTCTGGAATTGTTTGACTACAGGAATGAGTGCTGATCCTTGGTTTCTCATTGCATCACTGTATCACTTTGTGTCTGACCCTTTGTCCCTATCCCTAATCTGTAAAAGAGATTTTTTTTTCTTTGCCAGTGTGCTACAAGGATTGGTGTGTGTGTATACAGTGCCGTGAGCATAAGGACATGCTCATTAACATCAAAGACACTTTAAGTTCTCTTAAAAATAATAGAGTAGAAGTGTCGTAAACTGTCCTAGGTCAAGAATGTTAATTATGCTTGGTCGTGATTTTCTTCTTAATGGGCAAGGATACTATTTGGAAAAATCATTCCTCCTTACTTGCACTCCTTTTCCTCTCTCTTTTTTTTTTTTTTTTTTTTTTGCCAGTGGATACTGTAATATGTAAATACATACAAAAAGCCAAAGAGCAGCAGCCCTGGGACTTCTTGCTGGAAGTGTGTGAATACATCACATGTGGGGGGTATTTGTTAGGAGGGAGACATGTGGCTTTGTCTAATTAACAATTTGTGTCAAGAAGCTGAACTATAAAAACTAAAGTTTAGTAACTTTCCCTCACCAGTTCCCCTACTAAAGAATAGTGTAATTTCTGTGGGAGTGTAGTTGATACTGAGCATTGAGGTGTGTGGACACAGCCCACTTAGCTGTAATAGCTGCTTACTCTTTGCTCAGTAGCCTTCTGAAAATCACCTAGGCTATGAAAAGGACTCATGCTTTGCAGCAGTGCTTGGTGCGTAAGAACTGGGTTTTAGATTGCCAGACTACTTTGAGTACTTGATCCTGTTCTCTGTTGTAGAGGTAGGAAGTACTTATGTTTGGTTCAATAGAGTTGCTAGGTAGATGGCTGTTAATCGTGCTTAAACCGGGTGATTCTCTGGAGAGAAAACTTTCAACGCAGGTTGCAACTAATTTTTTCAATCAAGTTCAGTGTGCAGTAGATACACATTTTCTTTACCTTTGACATGCTGCTCGGAAGGTCTACTCCAGCATCTCTTGAGTATCATAAATAAGAGCAGAAGGTGGGACTGTCATCTTTATGGTCTTCAAAGACTTTAGCTATTTTTCTGCCCTCTTTATTCCATGAGGGTTACCTCTAGGGCATGTTTTGCTTGGTAGTTCTGGAGATGAAACTTGGTAGAACAGCTCTGTTTCCTCAGTCATTAGATTTCAGCTGTACAATTTTCTGACAGCTGCTCTTGTCACAAATTGTTTGATTCCACGTTTGTTTACTCTTCTTGATCTAGCTGGGTTTCTATTAAATTGGTAATGTTTATATGAAATTCTTGCCTCACCCAGGGTTGGACATGGGCAGGTTATCCAGAGCATTAGGTTTGATGATTCTCCATTGTAAAAACAAACTCATATAAAATAATGTTTGCTAATGACCTGTTTATTAGAGTGCATCATGCACATTAGAGGGGACTTGCTTAATTCTGGTGTCTAGATACTTGAGACTTCAAGCACAAGTGATCAACTTAAGGTCCTTGACTCCTCTGTCACTCTTTAATTTTTTGTTACCATTTGGGGCTATGTCCCATGACTGGGTTTATGCTGGCACAGGGACAGCTGGATGGTCTGGAGCACTTGCTAGGTTGCTGATATCTATCTGCATACCTAGTCCATCCAGGTGGTATCCTGCTAAAACCTCTGTAGAGCTTCTATTCTCATTTCCTTGTGAATTTCTGAAGCTACCTTCTCCCATGGCTCTCTAAGGTATTGCAGTATATCGTGTCTCTCTGACATATATGGATTGTGATATTTCAGGCTTTTAAAGTTGGGTAGCTTCCTGTGTTGACCTAGGGTGAAGTTTTCCATGTGTCCCCAGCAGTTATGTCCATAAAAAGTTTAGGTGTTCCTAGAAATGTTAACACAGGAAATTGGTATCTTGAGCACCTTATCTGTGCCCGAAGTTTCTTTTAATTTCATAAGTGTCTTTAGGGTTGCCAAAATCGACCTTAATTGAACTGTCTTTGGAGCTGAAGTTGTGCCTGAGGTGTCTTCTGTTTCACTTGTGTTCTGTGCGTGTGGGTGTGACTGCAGCCAAAGTTTGAGGTTTGGTGCTCCATACTGTGTAGTCAGAGGGTGGGGAAAGTGCTCATTGCTGGGGATGTGATGTAAGCATGCGGCAGCCTTGTGAGAGCTGGGGAAAACGACCTGATTACTCAGAAATAAAATATTCTTTAACATTTATGGTGTATCTGACAGAGCCCTGTAAAAGCTGGTCTTTAGCTTGGTCTCCCCAGGTGCGAGGAGGGGTGCACTGCTCTGTGGCAGAAAATACTGAGGTAACTCACTGCATTAGTTCTTACACTTGATCCTTTAATTTTCCAGGGGTTGAAAAATGAAACAGGAGTTTTAAACTTTGAGGACTCATAATGGAAGTCTCAGAAGGACATAACTTCATCTCACTGGAAGAGGAAACCAGATACTGGAAAGAGTTGGCTATGAAATACAAGCAGTGGTAAGGCAGTGGCTTCATTCCTCTAAGGTGTCTGATAGGGTGCATAACTCAGCATGCAAAGATGGAGATAGCACCTCACAGGGGAATATATTCAAGGTGGTTCAGCTATCTTGACTGGTAGCAGTAGCAATGCTTCTGCATAAACTACAGCAGCCCAGAGTCCTTTATGCTTATTTGAGCAGTGACTCTGCTGTTTGGCACTACTGGTTTTGATCCCTGCTATGGTTTAAGATAGGACTGTGTACTGAAATTGTGCCTCTGACTGCAATCTCTGGGCATCTGGGGTGAATATAACTCACTGCAGAGCCTCGTTGGCAGTGGATGATCTGGTGGGCCATTGCAGAAAGAGAGATGCTTGATTGACCTCTGTGTGGATCAAGAATGGTTTGACAGCATGTAAATAGAGGAGGATCCCTGGCTGAGACTGGACATACTTTGCCCTTCGCTTTAGCTCATTATGTTGCTTTAAATGCAGTAAAGGGTGAAAAAAAATTAAACTTTTTAGATACTGATCTTGGGTCCTTTCTTAGACCAGGTGTTCAGACCTTTCAGTGCTGCTGGTTTGGCTTGCTGGAGGTTTGAACATAAGAACATCTTTCCATCAATAGAACATAAGAACATCTTTCCATCCTTCTCTCTTCTCACTTTTTATTGCTAATAAAAAATTACTTTATTCATATTCTCAAATAATTGGATAACATACTAAATACACAGACAGTGGATAATGTGCATGGTAAAGAGACTTCAAATGTCTTCAGCACCTATAGTGTTTAAACAGACTTTGGGATTTTTCAATTTTTGGGGTTTTTTTTGGTTGTTGTTTTTTTTTATTTTTTTTATTTACCAGTTTGCTGTGGGGTGGCTTTCCATGCTTGATGGGAAAACATTTGCCTATGGTCTTCTCTTCCTTTTGAATATGTGTTAGAGAAGGGCATAGAGCCTTCTATGTTAAAGGGCTTTTTTTTTTTCTTTCACCTTGAGTGTACAAGAGACTTTTTCCTGCTCATTCTGATGAGTTCTCTCGCTGGAATTGCTCTCTAGTGCTGAGAATACACAGGAGGAATTGCGTGAATTCCAAGAAGGGAGTCGAGAGTATGAAGCTGAACTGGAGACCCAGCTGCAGCAAACAGAGTCCAGAAATAGAGACCTTCTGTCAGAAAACAATCGTCTGCGAATGGAACTGGAGTCAGTTAAGGTAAGAGTGGATGATTCATACAGTATCTGTACACCCAAAGTGCAAAGGTGAGTTAGACAGGCATGTGCAGATTCAGCTTGCCTTATCTGTTGTCTGCTTTAAGGATCCTGGATATCTCTGCAATGTTCCTGAATCCTTGTTGTCAGGTTGTGGTTATTTGTCAGGATATATTTTAGACGGGAGAAAGTTGTTTGCAGTAGAGTGGAAAGCAAGCATGAACATATCTGAGCTGCTGTTGTGTTCCTTCTTCCATTTACTTAGTGATTTTTGTTCATAGCTTTCTTGCTGTCTGCATTGTGCAGACACAGATAATATTGCAGAACAATCAAGATACAAACATTCCAGCTGTGTTCTTGCATTACATAAGTGATTTGTTTTAAACCCTTTTGATGTAGATGTGTATTTATTAATTGGCATTCCAGATAAGCTGGGAAGCAGCAGCTGGTGTGTAATGCATGGGACTGAGAGGTATAAAATAGTTTCAGTTCTGGCTTTATTACTGTGTCTCTTTATACTTGGGGAAGAATAATGTATCCTTTTTACACTTGGGTAGCCTTCTGTAGAGCTAAGAACCAGCTGAAAAGCATTATCTTTCGTAATTATAAAGCATAAGGGATATGAACTTACTGAGATGGAACTTCTTAACTGAATGACTTAGGAGATCATGAAACTATTTAGAGTATGAAGAATAATGAGTCTGCCTCATTTTGGTCTCATTAAAGATGCTGCTAGTCCCTTGTGCTGGTTGGCAGGTTTAGGAAATACTGGTGAGTTAAAGAAAACTCGAAAATGAGTTGGCACTGAAATTGGTGTGTGCCTTTTTAAAGATTGATCTTGGTGGCCTTTTACTTAAGGGTGTGGTATAGTCTCCCAGGAAACACTACGCTGTATTTTGTAGGGCTAGGTCAATATATGTGGAAGCAGAGATTAATGTAATTGTAGTTCTACTCTATTGGATGTAATAATGAGCTAATGGGAGTGAGGGTATTTGTAGAAGTGATTAATCACTTCAGTGATTCATCACTGGATTAATCCAGGTTTGCAATGCCTTCTGTCTAAACTGTTGCCCAAATTACTGTCTTAAGAAAATAATCTTCATTCCCAGCAGATGTCTTGTCCCTCTGGCATCAGCGTAGTGATTCCTGCCCTCTGCTCTTTGATAGCAAAAGCTCCAAGGCTTGTTTCATTGTGTATATGTTGCACTGATCTTTATTGGTCTTGAATTAGCTTGTTAGTGGTATTAAATGCTCTGCATGTTGTATGGAGTATTGGAGTATTGCATGGAGTATTTACTGTTCTATGTAGCCACATAAATCCATGTAAGCTGGTGGGTTTGGGGTTGAAGGCGTAGGTTTGATAAAACATAAAATCCACAGTGCATTTGAGGAGGGTGTGGACTATTTTCTTGCTCTGGAGGAGTTAGGATGAGGGGAAGGGATAATGAAGCAGCTGAAGCAGTTAGGAATGAAAATAATAGGAAACATCATAAACCCTCAAAAAGTGGAGGGTAAATGTATATTAGAAATTCTTAAAATATCCTTCAGAGTAGATTACTTTAAAACATTCTGCTTGAAAGGAATTTCTTTAACAATTGGCCATTCATGCAGTCTGAAAACTGCAGTAACAGCCTGCAGTGAAGGAACAGAGACACCATTGATGGCCAGATCAGCTGATAATTTATTACAATTGGCTAAAAACAAAGACTCAAACCTTGCAGTTCTGGTCTTTTATCTGAATCAATTTGAGAGCAAAGCATTAAACTCACAAAACTATTGAGCAGCTGTGTTAACTGAGCCCGTCAAGGGTTGGTGTCGGCATCTAGGTCAATGCTAGTGAACTTTGCCAGGCCCACACAGCTTGTGGCTTTGAGCTTCCAGCCTAGTGTGTGTACTTGCTTCCTCCTCGGAAACCGGAGTTCACACCTAAAAATAAATGGAAATAATGCTTTGAAGGGTTTGTTTAGAGAGTCCTGAAAACCTACTGAAAGTTATCTGCCTCTTAGAGCTTGGAGGCTCTTCTGCATGTAACTATGCTTCAGAGATCTGGAATTATAGTAATGTCACCATGCTGTAATCAAATTAGAATGTCTTAATTTGGAATTAAGAATTCCTGCCTCCTCTCTGTTTATGTGTTTAGTGTGCTAAAATAGCTGTCTTCAAATTGTCAGTCATGCTGGACTACATGCCATGGTTTTCAAATTCCAGTGCATGGATTTGTTTTAAATGTCTTCAGCTGTTTTGCACTTAAATTCTGGATCGTGAAAGTGCCTCTGTAATGCGACTTTATACAGCAGTCTTGGAGTTTAAAAAAAATGTCTAGCTTGTTGAAGGGTTCTGGTAGCAAGGTGGTGGAATGTAAAGTGTCTCAGTAGACTGTGTGCTGTGAAGCTTTCCCTCTCATGGGACGTGGAGCTAATTCCACATACAGCAGCAGTATCAGGAGAGAGATATTTAATGGAGAAGCTTAAGTATTCCTCCCTGCCTTTGTCTGTTGTAAATCTACTCTTGTGTAGATGCTGTAAAGGAAGACAGTTTGATTTTAGGCTTACATCCAAAGCATGTTGCATAACTGTACTAGAAATGTTTTGTGCTCTAGAACACTATAGGCTAATAAAACCAGAGGGGCAGTGGAGAATCCTGCTGGTTCAGAGCAGTATGTAACAGTGTTACGCTTGGATTTTATTTTTTCTTCTTAGGCTCTGAAGTACAGCTTGATTTTACTAGAATTGAAAAGAAGGGGCTTCTCTTGCATCCTGCTTTGTGTGTTGCTAAAGCTTGTGGGGCTCAGAAATTATGCTGAATCTTGCTGTCTGGGAGCGCAAAGAGCAGTCCTGTGCTGTGGAGGTCAGGAACTGCTCCCCAGTACCATTGTTTCTTAAGAGGCAACAGGAAGAGCAGTTGTTTACCGACAGCCCAGAACTATGTGAACAGTTGGTTTTGTTGGCATTTTGCCATATATAAGGTGATGCTTCTCCAAAAAACATCACAGCATCGGCTTCTGCCTTTAAAGGGGCTCAGGCAATGCTACAGAACGAGCACGTGCATTGCTAATGCTCTTTGATTTGCCTTTGATTAGGAAAAGATTGAAATTCAGCATTCAGAAGGATACAGGCAAATCTCTGCACTGCAAGATGACTTGGCACAGACAAAAGCTATTAAAGATCAACTTCAGAAATATATTCGAGAACTTGAGCAAGCAAATGATGACTTGGAAAGAGCAAAAAGGTGACTTGACTTCTGTGTTTTCTTTTTCCACCTTTGTTCTGTCCTGTGATCATGGTGACACTGTGCTGTTTGTAATGCTGTGCTCCTCAGCACTGCCATTCTGAGCTCATCACTCAAGTGATGATTGTGGTAAAGAGGATTGTGGCAGATGTCACTCCCTCCACTGCACACTTTCATATCTTACAAGCTAAAATAAAAATATTAAAAGCAAAAAAACTAAAATGCGATGTTACCCCCTTTGTTGAGAGAGAAGGTTCTTCTGTGTGCTAGAAGGATCTGGTAGTGACATCTTATGCATTCTTGTTTCAGAGCCACTATAATGTCTCTAGAGGATTTTGAACAGCGTTTAAACCAGGCTATTGAAAGAAATGCTTTTCTGGAGAGTGAGCTGGATGAGAAGGAAAACCTCCTGGAGTCCGTGCAGCGCCTGAAAGATGAAGCTAGAGGTTAGATAGAAATTGCTTGTATCTTTGCCTTTCTCCCCTCCTGGCTTGTACCTGTTAAGTCCTCTTTCTATGTCTTAGAGCTTGGCTTTTAAGGTTGCATCTTTTAAAGCTACTTGAAATGTAGAAACAAATGAGAGCTTCAAGACTGACCCCCCCCTTCCCTCCTTCAGCTTCTGTGACCTTGTTTCAGAGCAGCTCACAGAAGCAAAAGTCTGTTCCAGCCTTCTCCTGATCTGTGGTGATGCTTCAGGGCTGTTGGGGGGTTAAGAAGAGCCAGTCCAGCTGGGGCATGTCTGGTCTGGCTTCCTGTAACCTATGAAGGTCAGCTTTAATAACCATTAACCTCATTGTTTCCTGGGCTGTGACTGACTTCTTGTTACCTCTGAGTAGCCCCATGTCCTAGCTGCCTGATACTGATGACTAAGGCGGGCTGAGAAGAGAGACCACGGAGCTGGAAAAACACTTTCTGCTTTCAGATGTGCTCAGATTCTGTGCCCTTGAGTGGCTTCTGTAAGCTATAGCAAGGCTTAGGGACAGAAGTGATAATGGTGTGGTTTCCATCTGTCTTCAGCTCAGATTTCCTTCATGCGGAAACCAGGGTAGAAGAGAAAAGGATACAATAGGTAGGATCTCAACCTGGCAGGGAGCTGGAATGTAGCCAAGGTGTGCCAGGTTGTCTAGCCTTGGTCTTGGCGTGCCTCTGCTTACCACCCTGTAATGTTTGGAAAGGAGTTAATTACCTGCCTCAGAGGGATACCGCAAAAACATCTTGAGTCACAATCCCAGAAAATCCTTTAGTGATCATCTGGATTTTGAACATATGCCTAGAGTAATCTTTACAGGGAAAAGTGATTTCACCTCCACAAGGGGGGATAATCTTTTGAGCAAAACATTCTTACCTGTTTTTATCTTGGTGGATACATACTCCAAAAGCTTGCTTTGTATTGCTTCCTTCGTAGATCTACGTCAAGAGCTTGCAGTGCAGCAGAAACAGGAGAAACCCAAAACACCGATGCAAACTACCCTGGAAACAGAAAGAACAGACACTGCAGTTCAAGCGTCCTTATCTGTGCCTTCAACTCCTTCAGTGCACCGGGCACCCAGCATCAACATACCCACCCCTATGACATTTAGGAGAGGTGACTGACAGGGAATGAGCACACAATTACTATTTGCTTCTCTTGTTTTTACTATAGTTTCTGGCTAAAGGAGGAATGAGAAGAAGGGGGAATGAGTGGAGTTAAGTGTTTCAGTAAAATACACCTCAATGCTGTCACCACGGTCTTATTTTCATAGACTGTGATTTTTGGGGGTTATTCATAAACTGTTCATTTCAACTTGACTTCAACTGTCCAGTAGTAATAATTGTGAAGGGCAACATCACCTGTTGGGACTTAACTATTAGTTCCCAATTGTCCCAGAGATGCTGGGCTAATTTTGGGGAAAGACTTAAAAAACTTGAGCATGATCTTTAATGTCATGCTCATGTTACTTGAATTGGCTTCTCTGTGAGAGTAGATGCTGTCTTTGGAGAGGGTTTTTGTTTTTTATTTTTTACTCTGGAACAGCAGGACACTGATAAGTCATCCAAGTTGTCTGGTTTCATGTCAATATCAGTTGCTTATTTTTTGTAAGCACTGATTGTTTCAATGTTTCAAGCCTCTAACACTAACTCTCCCATCTTTTTACTTAAGAAGCTGGAAATTTGTGTAACACTGTTCATGTCTATAGGGGGTTGCACTGTTGCATTCCTATGATTTGATAATACAGCTTTGAGCGCTAACAAAGCTTAACTGTGGGCTTCAGTATGCTTGACCTAAAATTGTGGTTTGTGTGGAGTAATTAATGCTTCTGTAAAAGCGAGAGGATTTGGATATTTGTAGTAACATGAGAGGTGATGTTCCTCTCGGAGGACACATTGCTCTGATCCCACTGCAGCAACAGAGGTGCAAAGTAGGCTGGTAGAGCAGATCTCTAGAAACCTAAGCCACAGCATGTCTAGAGACTTTAGCTTAGGACAGTGTAACTTGAGCAGTCTCAGAGGGACAGTGCTTCATATTCCTAATGGATATGAAAGATCTAGAGGTGAGATACAAAAGGTGAAGATAATTGTTTTCTCTGCTGTATATGTCAGGTGTCTTCTGACTTCCAGTGTCAAAGGTTTGGGTTTGTTTTTTTTGTTTTGTTTTGTTTTTGTGTGTGTTTTTTGCTTGTTTTTGTGTGTGTGCCTATCTGTGTTTGTTTGTTTGTTTTAATCCTCCTCTAACCTGCCCTGCAGGTCTCGAGGACAGTTTTGGTGCAACCCCTCTCACACCTGCTGCAAGAATATCTGCACTTAACATCGTGGGGGACTTGCTACGAAAAGTGGGGGTGAGTGCTTACCTTCCAGCCAGTGCTCTTAGAAAGGAAGCGCTGTCTGAAACTGTAGCCAGTACTATCTGTGCTGCTGCTCAGGGGAGACTGGGAAGAGTATCTTGTCCCAAGATTAGCTAAGCCTGGCCTTGAAATTTGATTTGGACTTGGTATGTTTCTGACCAGCCCCCAGACAAAGATGGACCCTGCTCTGTTTTTCTAAGGTCTTATCCCCATGTGGATAAGATCTTCCTCTACAGATTTCTGAAAGCACATGTGCAGAAAGAATAAATCGGCATGAACAAGTAAGTAGAAGGTCTTCTTTCCCACGAAAAGTAGGAAAGAAAGTAGGAGGGTGCCTGCTGTCCAGAGGGCTTCTGATGTTTTCCTTAAAAGTCTAGTAGCCTTTTGAACAAGGCCTAATGTCTTGTTAAGCTGTTGTTTGACATTTAAGCTAGTGCTGATGCTGGAAAAAATATCCATTGCCTTCCGTTTGATCCCTTATGCCCCAGTGCTGTGTTGGCACAAGCACTTGTATGACTTTTGGATGGGCTAAGCTGCAGAACTGGTACAGCTGAAGAGTAACCCAGCAACAAAGCTGGAGTTTTCTACGGTGGGAGCATGTAATGCAGAATAGTTTATCTGTGGCTCAGTTCCCTCTGGTGTACTACCTAGCATGTAAAGCCTAATGTGTCTAGGAAAGGAGATAGCTCAAACATTTAGTAATTTCAAAGTGATACCTCTAAGAAAGATGTCAAAATCTCCCTGAGGAAGCTGAAGGCTTTGTTTTCCTGCTGGTGAGTAGGATCAACTCCTTAACCTGCCCTACAGAAAGATTCAGCTTTAGAGAGATGACTTTGTCTCTTCAAAAATTCAGCCCTCATGTAGCACTGGAGTCTAGCAAGTTCCTCTACTAGGCAACTCATTCTAAAAGAAACAAACAAAACCAAACCCATAGAAACCCCAAACACTCTTAATGCCATTTTTCGTGTGCCACAATGTCATCTTGTAAAAGAGAATGTGGTATCTGACACTTCACTCAGCTGTGTTTACATTAGGCTTTGGAGTCCAAACTTGCGTCTTGCCGAAACTTTGTGTATGACCAGTCTCCAAGCAGAACCACAGTGTCCATGTGCATGAACAGAGATGTCCTTGAAACACGCTTGAGTCCTCATCAGCCTCTGTGTGATACAGGGTGAGTGCTGTTTTCTGCTGTTGTGTCTTATTGAGAAGTGTTGCTGTTAAAACTTAGTGACTGGTACTGTTTTATTTTGTATTGAATCTTTATTATGGTAGGGACAGATCCATTTCCAACATACATGAAACTTAGTTGTTCAGGATTATGATTTAAATGTTTTAGATCAGCTTTGAATTTGGAATCACTAGCTGCTGAAATTTGAAGACTAGTTGGAATCAAGTTTTGGAAACAAAATTCCAGAACCAAAAAATTTGGCAACCAAAACTGTATCGGAGCAAATGTGATACATGTATTTTATGATGAACCCATTAATAAGTGGAATGAATTACAGTGGAGGAGCTCTTGCTTATTGGCTTTGTTTGTTTTATGCTTTGTGTTCTTGTACAAGTGATAGCTTAGGAACATCATGACATGTAGGGACTTCCCTTATCACAGTTAGGATTCTCATTTATGGGAGAACTGGTAAACAAGGCAAATAATGGGTTCATTCAATCAGAATGCTTTACTGTCGCTAAGATGCGTTTCCAAGGAGCACCTGACAGGAATTTACCTGACTCAACTTTCATATTTGTGTGAACACTTGAACTGGTTGGGTTGTTGTTGTGCGCTTGTGGTTTGGGGGGGAGTGTTTGCCCCCGTTTTTTTTTTTTCTTTTTTAAAACTAATTGAAGAAACATCAACAAGGGTATTTCAAATTGCAGTTCAGTGCCTGCTTAAACCCTGCTAGTCCTGTACCTCACATCCTTTAGATTCTCTGTAAATTAAGTATCTATACTACAGTTTGTTCCAGACTCAATTATTCAGCTAAGACCCTTGCACTGGGAATACTGGTTTGTCCTGTCACCAGTACCCAAAGTTCCTGTATGGAAGGGGCGTTCTACATTGTGCTTCCTATCCCAGCCTGGGGAAAAACCTCATGAAATCTCTTATAAGAAAGCCTCAAGTGTTGTACTTTGTGTTCTTGTAGCTGATTATACACCTACCACTGTAATTCTAGAACTGAAATTCTAACACCTGTAAAAGATACCTTCTCACTACTTGGAGGGAACCGGAGCCTTGTGTTAGAGTGGAAACTCAGCCTAGTTAAGTAGTGGGCTCAGTGCTCAGAGTGGCATTAGTTTATCTGTTCATTTCTCAAGCTGAGTGGGGTACTCTGGAAGTGACCAGTTATCTTCAGATGGTGACACTGAGCAAGAAATGCACTGACTTCTCTTGTATTTGCAGGTTAGTGAAACGCCTGGAGTTTGGAACACGGCCTCCGAATATGCCAGGAACAATGAGCCATCCTTCACCAAGTGTTGTCAAGATGCTGCTGTGAAAAGGCTGTCTGACTGTGGAAAAGGATTAAAAATAATACATTTAAAAGAGAATATCAGTGAGCAATTGTGCAGCAGTTTTGGTGTAGAGGAGAACTGAACAAGAAGCTGCAACTGTCAGTGGTCTCCTGTGGCCTTGCCCAGTCTGACCTCTTGGCTGAGCTCTGTGGCTGGTGTGATAAAGCAATGATACCTAGCAGTGCAGGACTTAGAATTGCTTCCTACATAAGTCACTGTAAATAGTTCCATGAAAGTTTCTTCTTTTGACACTACCAGTCAAAGCCATTGTCGCTCTACCTAAAACAGAGACAGTATTCCCTGTGCAGCTCTTCAGACTTTGAATTTTGATGTTAGTACAGCACCATGGGGTTCTGGTTTTAATTCTGGTTGTGCTGGCTTTCTATCATGCTTGTTGTGTGCTGCAGTCACCCTAATTAGAAGAATGTGTTTCTGTGGAGGAAGGTATATTTCTGTGGGGAAGCTGCTCAGCTTTTTGTGGGGATGTTTGCTGGTCAGAATGTTGTTACACAAAAACCTACCTCTGTAGTGGTTAATACGGTTTTGTAAGCAATGATTCACCATTAAGAACAGACCATGGTTAAAGGTGAGGGATGCCTAGTGCTTAGTAGTACTTGGGAGATACCAGAACTAACAGCAAGGTAGGAGACTTTGAACTGGCTTAGCATATAGGCACCTTTTTTTCTTTGCTATATTGTGGCCCATAAAGCCTGGCTGTGTAGGAAGCAAGAGACCTGATTATGTTGCTAGATCTAACATTTTAATAGGTGGGTTTTACTGCTTTCTAAAGCTCTCTTTATTAATGTGCCTTGGGTATTAGTGATTTTTTTTCTTGTTTTATTTTGTCTATGAGAATATATGCTTTCAGCTGTTAGAATTGTTGTTTGTTTTTTTTTAACCTGAGAAGTCCTTCATGTTAGACAAATGTATATGAGTAGAAAACTATTTTAAAGTAATTTTTTCCCCCTATAGAATATTGTTAAACTTCCATTTGTTTTTTAAATGGAGTAGGTTTGCTCACAGTATTAATGTACCTTAGGGAAGCCTGTACTTGCAAAGCTAATCATGATTAAACAGTTTTTATAGTTTTTTTTGCTGGGGGGTGTGGGTGGGAAGAGCTTATTTGACAAAAGAATACATAAATGGGTTGGGTTTGGTTTAATTTGCTTTGTAGTTTTGTTTGGTTTGTTTTTTTTAGTGGGTGGTCTTTGGTTTGTGGGTTGTTTTTTTTTGTGTGTGTGTTTTTTTTTTTCTGGTGGGGTTTTTTATAAGTTTTTTTTTTTTTTTTTTATAAAATGCTGTGAAAACAGTCACTGATGCATCTGTTTCTCTGGAAGAGGAAATAAACACAGATGATTCCCATTATTCAGACCATGTACACAGTTGGCTTAACTTGGGTGCTGTTGTGGATGGAGGAGTGATGCACTTAGAAGTAGCAAAATGTGTACTGATAGAAACCATTGACTTAAAGTTTTTTAGTAAATGTAACAGGGATTTAACAAGGTTTGATGGTGATGTGCACTTGATTATTTACTGCATAGAGGACAGGGTCAAGCAAAGCTGTCAGGCAGACCCTTCTGTTGAGTTGTGAGGTTCAGAAAGGACCCCCTTGCTTTCTAAACTCCTTCCAGAGAGGCATCAAGGTTGTGGTTAGATTCAGACTTAGTCTCAGACTTGGTCAGCAGTTTATATCTAAAGGATTATATATGTGCGATCGGTCATTTATATCATGTAGCTGGGACTGCAGAGGTTAGCACACTTAATCACTTACTGAGGATCTGTTGCAGCAAGGAATCTCTCAGCCTTGAGGAGTATTGTTGAGAGGTGGCCCTACTTGGGGGATATCCTGGTTTGCAGGCTGCTGCTGTGCAGGATAGCTCAATGGGCTCTGGGCAGTCCAGTATTTATGGAGTAACACAATTGAGTCATGGTTGTGTTCTGTCTACTACAGAAACTTGCCTTGAGTTGGACCTTGACCAGGATTATATTTGGGGGTGGGAGGGGTTCACCTTGTTCAGATTGGGCCTTTGGCTATTGTGTTATTACCCATCTCCCAAGAGTTAAATTGGATGCCTTTATCATTACCCAGACTCATCCATTACCACCACCACTGGTGATTATCACTTGAGCAGAGTTGGGAAATAAAGGTCAGATTGGGTAAGGGGGGAGAAACACAGCACCATGCTCCACTCTGTGACTGTAGTCAATTTATCTTTGCCCTCACAGAATGGTGGTACAGTCGCCTCTTGCCTCTGCCATAAATACTGTATTGATAATTTGGGCACTTACAGATTCACAGTAAGTATACAGCGAAGCACTACTATTTGTTATGTGTTAATTTGTATGTTTGGGGTGATTAAAGTTGGATTATTTGTTTTATCTTATGCCAAACCTTTATATGCAATATAAGTAATAGACACATTAGAGTTAATAAAATCACAACTGGGTGAAGTATGAAATTAAAAATTTCTGTTGCTGTCAGTAGCCATCCAAGAGGAGTTTCCTACCACTGCTGTTCTCTGTCCTTCTTCACTCTTCCCAATATACAGGTATCTATTCTGTATCACAGTGAACGGTGATTAGAGTTTTGTGCCTGTTGTTTCAGATGCACTTCGGCTGCTGACACAGGTCATTGTGTTGTAGTTTCTTCACCAATATAAGATTCATTCCCATGGAGGTAGGCAATAAATCATGACTCATTGTATAATTAGATTGTAACAATTGATAAGGCATAACAGGAGCTAAATAATTAAAAGTGGCATCCCATAATTTTAATAAAGTTCCAACTCCCCCCCTGCCACAGGCAGGGGCACTTTCCACTAGACCAGGTTGCTCAAACCCCCATCTAATGTGGCCTTGAAGGCTGCCAGGAATGGAGCAATCACAGCTGCTCTGGGAGATGTGTTCCAGTGTCTCTCCACCCTCAATTTCTTTCTAAGAGGGAGGAAGGGAGGCAGAAGTTGAAATGCTCTCCTTTTCACTGCTACCTTGTTCCTCAGAATGCTTCAATTAGACTCAAGATAGTGCTAGTAGACTGAATCACAACTCCAGGAATGTCTAAGGCTAACACACTCTTGCATATTTCATTCCTGTACACAAAATTCTGTTCATGGGTTTTTAAACTTGTTTACTTTTAATGTAGTTTACATCCCCTGTTTCATGGATCTTACTTTGTGATTGCCTCCCTGGGGTTTCAGGTTTTGTTTTTCAGCTGGTGTATCATCCCAGCCTGTTTCATGACTGCAGTTAACAATGTTGTGTATTAATTCTGTCCATGTAGAGTGTGCCTTAGGAATGTTATTGTCCTGGTCTTTATTATGTTCAGTGTCTCTTTTAATTTCACCTCATTTTGCAGTTAGAGTTTAAGAATTGCTGGGACTCCTCTAAGTAATAGTTCTAACATTGCAAAATCTACTGTAGCAGTTAGTGGGACATTATGGGGTCCTTGTTTGTGCATGGCTCATATGCAAATGGCTTTTGTGACAGCTGTAGAGAGCTTGCTTAGAGATTTAATGGGGATTAGGGAAGCTTCACCTTGCTCCATAACATCTATTCCTCCATCCCAAGAAGCTACTGTGCTGGTGGTAGGATGGGTGTATTTGTTGTGTTGGATCCTAAGTTCAAGAAAACTGGACCCCAAATAGTGTTTGTTTCATCCTCTCCCAACGTTGTGTGGTTGCTGACACTTAGCCATGCTTGCCACAAGCCTTCAGTTTGTTTTAGCTGAATTTCTGCTATATTTCTCTTGTAAATTTGGCAGTTGCAAGGGATCCTGGGGGTGGTTTGCGTAGTATATTGCAGATGACCACCCCAAGATCCCATAGTTCTTTTTAATTTAACAATTGGCCTGGCTTCATATTCAGGAGGGCTTGGGGACACACACACACCAAAGGATAGTCCTCTTCTGGCTCACTTATCATTGAGATCACCCCGGATATCACCATCTCAGTCTTCAGGGGATACTATTAATTTCCTAATATGTACCATACTTGGGGGGTGTGGGGCCTGTAGGAGCATTTTCAACTCTTTCTCCCAACTTCTGTTTTTATTATTCTTGTTACTGTTCTTGCAGCTGCTCCATTTTTAAAGATGGCATTAATTCAGTCACCAACTCTACAATTTCCTTCTCTGGGTCTTCTACTGTCTATTTGCCCTTTCTTGGCATAATTTCTAAACAAGTACCCAGCATCCTGCAGGTAACACCTTTTCATTCTCCATCTTCTGTGTGGCTCCTAATGACCTCTACTTGCTTTTCAATGACTTCTTAATTATGCCAATTATCATGAGCCCATTCCTCTGAGAATTTGGCTTCACTCAGTTTCACTCCATGCCTCAATAAATAATGGGTGATGCTACCTGCCATCCTTTTGGCTATGCCAGGAGCAGAATAAAGCTTATTTTGAATACTAGCTGTTGATGAGTGTTGAGGGTATTTTTGCAAGTTGTCACTGTGGTTTATGTCCAGGTTTTTGCTACCAGTTTCTCATCTGTTTCTTATCCATGAAGCTGAAAGAGACATTGTTTTGCTGAAACCTATGCCAAGATTCTTCTACATCTCTCCTTGTAGTTTCCTACCCAAAGAATGTAAATATTGAAATAGCTGAAGATGCCTCTGGGATTTACAGTGCTTAGTATTGGCATTGTGCTCTCTTAAAATCTTGAACCCTGGCTGTTTTAATGTGATTTTTGTCCTATCGTCTCACACAGGGAGTTGACACTTTTCTTACACATGAGGACAGTTGAGCTGACATGTAGGCTACAGCTCAGTGAACTGTGTAGCCTGGAGGGATCAGTCAGCACAAGTTTCATTTTCCTTATCTTGCCATAATTTGCCTGCTCAGTGAGCAAGTTGGCTTGCACACAGATTGAGGCAACATTGAGATAAGGTAGAAAGTTGGAAAAGTGTGGCTGTGCATTACGCAGTATAGTATTACATATTTTACAGGTATATTATTAATGTGACTACAGATATAATCAGATAGACTAGGGGTGGACATGCTATTGAGAATTGTCAAGATAATTTAGTTCAGAAAAATCACCTCTCTGATGTTACAGAGAGGACGTTTTTGGGGGAGGAGGGAGGAACTTTTGTTCGGCCACTTGCAGAAGGGTGCTTTCTGTGGTGTTACTAAAGAAACCAACTACCTTTGTCCCAAGCTTTGCAGAATAAGGATCAGTTTGTTGGTTCTGCTCCTAGCATTGGTGCTTAAATAAATACATGAACTCTGTCTTCCTTGTTCCCACACATACAGGCTCATAAGCTGTGTGTTTAAAAGCCAGCTCTTGAGCATGTTTGCAGAGCTGGGCTGCATGGCTGATCAAGCAATGGAAAGGTCTTATCTGCTAGCTCCTATCCCTCTTCCTCTGCAGCTTGTCATCTAATTGATTTAAATGGATTCTTATTTACGCTCTTCCTTTACTTTTTCATGAGCAGAGAGAATTCTTTAGGTTCTTATTCTGCTGGATAAATGGTGCCTAGTCTGAATCTCCAGTTCATGATCTCTGTGCCTTCTGGAACGATGCTTAGTTTAGAAGACGACTGCATTAGTTGTCAAGGTGGATTTTTTTTTGCTTGACTTGCTCTCCCTGTAGTCACAGTGCTTAAGGTTTACTTGCTGTACAATCCAAGACACCGAGTACACTCTCTGTGCTCTGTTTAGAGCAATTCTAGCCCAGGTTTTGCTAGAGTTTGCTGTGCGTGGCTCTCTACTGCCCCAGTGTGATCACAGAGTTCACTGCTATCTGGAAGTACTAGAGCTGCCTTATTTGCAGTCGGTCCTCGGACTTCCGAGCAGTGGGCTGCGGTCCTGTTGGAGTGCTCCAAAAATGAAATGTAACTGCATGTCGATCCTTAACGCAGAATAACTTGGCTTGGATCACTGCATTCAGTGGGCTGCTGTTTCTAACTATTTTCTGCCTGCTGTAGAGGTTTCATTTGGAAATAACACTACATGTAGACTTCAAGGATGGTTCTGTTGCCTAAAGATGCACACTTAGTGTCCTGCCTGCTTCCCAGTTGCTGCACCAGAATCTTGCAAGTCTCCTCCATGTCCTCAGATGCGTTACATCTGTCAGCTCTTGGCAACATCCTAGGGTAGCTCAGTAAGCATCCATGAATGTCCCAGATACTTCAAGTCAATTTACATTCAGCTCAG